AGACGTGTCATTTGGGCAAATGCGTCCATAATGATTAGGATGGATATCTCGTATCCTAAAATTAGCAATTCGCCCCGTCAATCTTCCTGGGCCCAAATAACTCAATTTTCTCCCTTTTTTATAAGTACGTCAAAACCTCTCAAAACATTACTTATAAGAGTGTGGAAACCTCTCATTCGCATATACATTTCAAAACTGTGAAGCTAACGTCATACGTAACGGATCAAAGTGAACAATATTTGTTAGTCGGGCGGAAAGTGTTTGAATAATTATTGAATCATACACTAATATCACAAGCATATTATTGGGCAAGATTCAATCAATATTACAAATTATGGAATGATTTGTTATATCTAGGCAAGTTAGAATAATACTAATACAAATAAGGATCGATACTAGCACACAAACACAAACCACACGACTTTTTTTGTTAATGATTTTTGTCTTTAACGTTTGGTTGCATACATGTAACACGAGGTTTGAAGTTGGTGTCTGAAACAATTACCAATTTCAATAAAAATTAACTTCGATTAATCCGACTAATTTATTTAAAGCATACGAACTAAATTCGAAAATTTCGAAAAAAATTTCACTTAAATTTGAATTTTGAATTTTGTAATGGTTGCAAAAAAAATAAGAATAATAATAATAATAATAATAATAAATAAATAAATAAAAACTTCACTTAAATTTATTTTAAAGTTTCAAAGTGAAAATGATTGTTTTTTAAACTTCTAACATCAATTAAAACAACTCTTAAAAGTATTTTGTATAATTAAAAAAACTTATAATTCCTTAATTTTTTTCTCTACTTTTTCAAGCCCTAAATATATAGCAAATACACTCATTTCCCGCTTCTCCACATATCAGCGCGCTGGTCTCTCCCTCCATCTCCATGGCCGATAAGAGAAAGCGCCGGCGATCTGAACTCAATCCAGACGGCGAAGCTCAACTTCCCTTCAAGAACAGCCTCAAATCTGATTCTATCATTCTTCAGATTCTCAAAGAGTTCAGTGACTGCTCCACCGCCCCATCTTCCTCTTCATCTAAAACCCTCGACGACCTAGGCCTCTCCTCCTCCTGCCGCGAGGTCACCGATCTTTCGCTTTCTTCCGTGCAGTCCACAATTGAAGATCTTATCCTCAAAATTGCTCGTTCCATTCTTTCCGGCAATGGTTTTGCATTTGATGTTCCTTCTCGATCGGCGGCCAACCAATTGTACGTTCCGGAGCTCGATCGCATCGTTTTGAAAGACAAAACCGCCATCCGCCCCTACGCCAATATTTCCACTGTTCGGAAGTCCACCATTACTACTCGCATTCTTCAGCTTGTCCACCAACTTTGCATAAAAAACATCCATGTGACCAAGCGAGATCTGTTCTACACGGATGTAAAGCTCTTCCAGGATCAGACTCAGTCGGATTCTGTGCTTGATGATGTTTCTTGCATTCTCGGCTGTACTCGGTCGAGTCTCAATGTGATTGCTGCGGAGAAAGGAGTGGTTGTGGGAAGGCTCATTTTCAGTGACAATGGGGATATGATCGATTGCACTAAAATGGGTATGGGCGGTAAAGCGATTCCGCCAAATATTGATAGAGTTGGAGATATGCAGAGTGATGCATTGTTTATCCTCTTAGTTGAGAAAGATGCCGCGTATATTAGGTTAGCTGAGGATAGGTTTTACAATCGCTTTCCATGTATTATTGTGACCGCTAAGGGACAACCGGATGTGGCCACGAGATTGTTCTTGAGGAAGATGAAAATGGAGCTGAAGCTTCCAGTGCTTGCGCTTGTAGACAGTGATCCATATGGGTTGAAGATTCTATCTGTCTATGGATGTGGATCAAAGAATATGTCTTATGACAGTGCTAATTTGACTACTCCTGATATCAAGTGGCTAGGAATAAGGCCGAGTGATTTGGATAAATATAATATACCGGAGCAGTGCAGGTTACCTATGACAGAGCAGGATATTAAGACTGGGAAAGATCTGTTAGAGGAAGATTTTGTAAAAAAGAATCCAGGTTGGGTTGAAGAGCTCTCTTTAATGGTGAAGACGAAGCAGAAGGCTGAGATTCAGGCATTGAGCTCATTCGGGTTTCAGTATCTGTCGGAGGTTTATTTGCCATTGAAGCTGCAGCAGAAGGATTGGCTGTGACCTAATAGTTTGTTAGTGTGTGTTGTAATCAATTGTTGAATTTCTGTTGCAACATTAGGAAAGTTGAGCAATGATCAGATAATGTTATCTCTGACCGAACCATATTCAGCTTTCAAAGGTAAAGAAATACCTGCTTTCTGGAGGGATTTCAATAGATACTCTTGCTTCCAATTTTATGCTTATTGTTCTTTTGTTTTAGTTATTTGAGAATAGTGGCATAATAGTCAAGAAGAATTGAAATCAGGGTTCCTGATATCAAGGAGGTATGATTATCTTATAGTTTAGAAAAAATGCTGTTCTTTTAACTGATTATATTGCTGCAAACTCTTGGTATTGGTCTTCTGTTTAATCGGACTGTAAGAACTTTGTGCTAGGTAGGGGGAACTATAGTTCGAGGAATTTAGGAGTATACCCACTTCAATACCTCTCTTGGTGCTTAAGCTTGTCTACTACTATTTTTTCCTAGCAACCCCATTTCTCATCACTATCAGTTGTGGCTATTGAAAGTTTTTAGTTTCGGTTTTCTTTTCATACTCTTTCTCACCGATCCAGGTTCTGTATTAAATTGTTTCATTTTGGATATAGGAAGTGGGGTTTCTCACTTAACAATTAAACTGATTGATACAATGCTGATTTTCTTTCATTTGATATTCAATCATGCTTCCTTCAACTTCTGAATCGACAAACCAAAGTTATCGTGGCTGTATTTTTCTTCGAAATCACTAATGATCGAAACACGGTCTTAAGTGTATAGGTTCCAACATGTGAGGTGGGCATTTGAAACTCTAATTTGGAACAATATCTTTACGTGAGATCCCACATTAGTTGGAGAGGGGAACAAATCATTCCTTATAAGAGTGTAAAAACCTCTCCCTTGTAGACGTGTTTTAAAATCGTGAGGCTGACGGCGATACACAACGAGCCAAAGTGGACAATATCTACTAACAGTGGGCTTGGGCTGTTTTACTTTATGAAGGGTGTATTATTCAATGATTAAGATTTTCATTTTGTGTTTACATCATATCATACAGGGACATTACATATACTGCTTTGCAAAGAGAAAAGGTAACTACAAGATATAGCACATAATCATTATATCTTTAACACAAAATCATCCTGGGGGTATTGAACACCTATCTTCTGCTATCACTAATTTCTTTGCAGCCAGTCTTGCAGTGATTTCCTTGTGCCTTACAGTTTCTGTATATCTGCTGGCCTCCTAGTGGAGTACTTTAATCCTTCCAATAATTCCTTTCAACTTTGTATATGACATGTTAGAGCTTTCTGATGTTCCTCCTGCAGGAAAAACCTCAAGCCCGAATTCGTCTTTCAAGAGTGTAGGTATTGCATCTCTCACCTCGAAGTTGTATTGAACTAAATCCGTTTCAATTTTACTGATTCTGCTGCAGCCAAGATGGAAATGTAACCATTTCTAAAGGGTAATGGGCGCAGCTATGTTCCTCTTTGTGAATTAGCATAGTAGTTCAGTACTATTTGTTTAAATCCAATAAAGCAAAGCTTGGAGTGGGAGAGAACAAGATCTATCCATACAAGTACGGTAGTAGATATATATTTTTCTCAGGAACATGTCATTACCTTATGCATAATTTTCCTTGATCATTCGCAGAACTGCAAGAACGTTTATTTGAGCTTCAACCTGATGAATACAGTAAATGCTTACTCTCATGCAGGTGGCTTGACTTGTATTAGTAGAGCGTTCTTCATCTAAAAGCTCTGAATATCATGAACTTGTCTAAGTCAAACTCTGATCGTTGCGGGAGAAGGTTCTGGTAAGCTCGTCGCTGTTCTCGAAATTGCAAATATCAAATGTTAGTTTGCGAGGAATAATGGATGAACCAGTTGTTGATGCTATTTTGCTTGCAAGGCTTTTGGTAAGACTCTACTCTTTAATGTAAATTCAATTCAAATTCAACAAAATGTGCCTAAGAAAACCGTGTATACAAAATGTGCCTAAGAAAACCATGTATACCGTAAGGAAATCCAAGTTGATATGAACCAAGAGACATCAATCATACAATATGCTTCAATGAAGATGTGAAAAAAAAGTTGTCAAAATTATCAAAAGATGTTTTAATTCATGCTTAATGACCATAATTAGCCATTATGTAGATGTAACATAAAGTAAATAAATAGTGTTAAAATACATTAATGAAATACAATAACTCTAAATTGTAATTTACCCAAAATTTATAACATGAAACTTCATTCTTGTTCAATGTGGCATGAATTGAAATATCTTTTGATAATTTCAACAATATTTTCTTCACATCTTCATTGAAGCATATGTTATGATTGATGTCTCTTAGTTCATATCGTGACCTATTCGAGTTCATTAAAAAAATAACCCAAATCAGGGAGGTTGAATTGGGTTGCTCGATTTTCAATTAGGTTCTCAACCTAGGAACTTCAAAAGACGATACGATTGAATTCCAAACTTTTTCTGGTGGAACCTCCTGAGTTTTTAGAGAAAAATTATGTTTGTAGTTTTGCGAGATTTTGAAAATGTTTCAAAGCGAATGTTTTCTATTCATCTGACTAGAGGTGTGGGTAACGAGCTCACCTTTACAAATCTTCTTCCGAATATCTTGGTTCGCTTGAATAGATCAACCGAACTCCTTAAGATATATATATATATATATGTATATATATTGTTTTACACCCCCCACAAAACTATCAACTTCAGCACATAAACTATGTATAAGGTTTTCTGAAAGAAAAAAAAAATCTTAATAAAAATATTTGGATAATTGGATTTAGAAGGAAGGGGTTATTTTGAAATAATTGAAAGTTACGGGGTACATTTATAATAACTTTATACTACTTAAGAGAGAGAGCCCCTGGCGAAGTTCCAACTCTTGAATTTTCGCGCGAAGTTTGCCTTCTCCAACACGTCTTACTCCATCAGTGAACGACCGATTCTTGCTCACTGTCTCATCCGGAAATCGATACGATCGGACTGTCCAATATCAGATTTTTGGTTGAACGCGATCGGAGATTATAACCAGATGGCATATGTAGATTTTGTTTCCGAAAAGTAGATTAAATCGTTTTTTACGCTGATAAGAGACGCCGCCGAAGCAACGATCGAAAAACATGAACAGGAGCAAAACTGTGGAGAACTATGTCCAGAGTATCAAGCAATCGGTTCAGCTCAATCCCGATCAGATGAAAATGGCTGCGAAGGTTTCAATAAACCATCTCTTAGATTCTTCTCGATCAATTTTACTGCTATCGATTATTTGACATTCAGATTAAATCGTTTTAACTTTCAATATATCCTCATTTAGTTGCATTTGATTCTGCTTCATAACACCTCCACTTTATTTGCCTGTAAATGCGTGTTTTATACTTCCTATTTTGTAATTTTCTTTTGTACTTGAACAAGTAATGGAAGATTGTAACCAAGAGAATCTGGAGAAGGTCGTTGAGTCAAAGAAAGCTGAATAAACCAACCAGAATGTGCGCTCTTTTCTTCCGGTTTCTCATTGATAATTTTGCCTTTCTTGTATCTGCCGGGCGTAATGACATAGCATTTGATTTGGTGTGCGAGTGTCGAGAAAAAAAAAATTGGTTTCTAGCGTTGACCATCCACGTTGGTGGTTGCTAGACGGATGAAATTAATGCAACCAACTTACAAAGTTTATATTATGAACTATAGTAGGATTTTCTTACTTTTCAAATCCAGATCGCTAATAAGGTTCAAATTGTTAGTTGTTTCGATATTCATCTTCCTGAAATTCCTTATCTGCAGGTTTGCAAGTAATTCTTGGATGTTGTGGAGAAGAAACAATATGGTTGGTTTTGGTTACGCCCAAATGTAGGCAAGGACTGTCATTATGGGCGTGCTCTATTTGCTGGGTATGTTTTAAAGCTTTAAGCTCTTCTATAGGAGGAGACCGAAAATATGTCTACTGAGGAGGGAGGATCGAGGGGATAGAAAATCAGGTGCGATTTCATGAGCTGGCCTTATTAGGATTACCGTTTTCAATTTTAATTGTTTATGATAGACAATTTCTGGCTGCCTAATACGGTTTTGACTCAATTATGTCTTGGATTTAGCATGCCAAGATAACTAAAACAACATCAACCCTCATGACTCCTGAATTATACATGCAATGGAAGAAGAAAAAGTTTGCAGAAAGAGAAGCTTGTTTTGCTGCACTGGCAGAAAGAGCCTCGAATGATCGTCTGAGGTTTTCTTCCTTCGTATCATTGTCTTTCCTTTTTGAGTTAATAGCCACTTTGGATAGTGGATACTTGATCTGCAATTGTGTTAATTTTGATATTCAATGAACAGAATGGATGAGCACTTTTGATTGTTCACATGTTAATTTTGATATTCAATGAACAGAATACCAAGTTTTTTCAAAACCAAAACTAAAACTTGCTGCATAATATCATTTAGTACCCTCTCTCCCTGCTGCAATGGTAGTAACCGTGAAGTTTCCTATCTGATTCAAGACAGTTTGTTGATGATGTTGAAGTATGTAACAGGCCTAAAAAGAGCAAAGGTCTGATGATAATAGTTTTTGTTGGATGATGAAAGTCCTACGTCGACTAATTTAGGTCATGGGTTTATAAACAAATACTCTCTCCATTGATGTGAGGCCTTTTGGGGGAAGCCCAAAGCAAAGCCATGAGAGCTTATGCTCAAAGAAGACAATATCATATCATTGGAGAGAGTCGTGTTCGTCTAACAGTCTTAAGGCTTGACATTCGCACTTTAGTTTCAATTCTTTTGACCGAAGCTATGAAATATAAACAGTAGTTTGATAATGTTAGTGAAAATAATGAATTTGAACGTAAAATATCATATTTGTTTCTTTAAGCATATCATCAAACGGACATATTTGATATGTTATTCTTTTTTTATGTAATACCTTAAATCATTTACTTGGTTTGGGATTTTCTTTACAAACCTTTTTTGTATGATACTGCATCAAGAATTATCGCATTAAATTATCGTGTTTCTGATTAAGATCGTTGAAAATCTGTTCGATATAGTTTATTTTTTCTTTTATTTTGTATGTTAAATGTAAATATCATTATCTAAATATTTAGTTTCTATTACCAATTATCTCAGTGACCGCCAATGGTGATTAAACTATTTCTGATGAAGATGGTGATGACGATGCCCTGGATTTGGTCCTAAATGAGCTGGAAGCAAGGTGGTCAAAGACAGAGACCCAATTACAAGAGTTAGGCGTTTGATGCTCAATGGCTAGCTTAAACATCCTTGCAAATTCAAAGCCTCCACTTGGAACCTTTTGCTTTAGGCAATGGCACTCCATTTGTTGGCACCGTATTAATGGTCTTTTACTAGAGAAGGTCTTGGAAGTTGACTTCTGATGTCTTTTTTTTACTAATGGGAATTTGTGTGATAATCTTGCTCTTGTCCTAAAACTGTCTTTGACGCAGGGTCTGCCACTGACAATAATGGAAGGCTTATATATTCGAAGGCTGCTCTGTTCTCTTGACGTGTACAAATAATAGAGACATAAGAGTAAGTCTCCTAATCCTCAACTTTTTTAGGAATTATCTTGCTTTTCGGAGTTCTCTATCTTCTTTGGCTTTCTATTATACACATCTTGCTTCAGTTTGAGTCTTCTGATCATGTCTCGTACATTCTTCTGCTTCATGTCTGCTACGGCAGAAACTTAGGCGCCCCATGAATAAACACATTTCTAGGCATTATTATAGGATTCCCATGAATAAATTTTGAAAAATATATACTAAGTTTCTTTTTTCCTTTGACATCTAATTATCAAGAAGTATGATTAATTCTGGAACACTCTAATTACTTCAAAAGAATTGAAACTTTAGCTATTGTGTTTCAAGCCCATTAACTTTTAAACGGATGTGGTCAACTCAAAATCCAAATCAATCCTATGACAGCTTACAGTTTTAAACTAAGGTTGTATTACTAGTTTAGTTTATTGAAGCTTAACTGGGGAATGGAAATTATTCTCTCTCATTTTCATGGTTGATGTTTGGCTTTACTTTCAGTTTAAAATATTTTAAAATGTCTATAATAAGTAATATTGAAGCCCTTACTTTCAGTTTTTGTTCGTTTTTTTGTCTTTTATTATACAAATCCTTTGTTCATTTTGGTCCCTATACTTTTAAATTGATTAGAGTCAATATTCTTTTTTCATTTTAATTTTTTATTTGTAAAATTTTAAATACATGTTATACACCAGGAAAATAAATTTATATTATAATTATGTCATAAGAAATTTAGTGAATGAAGTGATATGCTAAAATTTTAATTAAAAATGTAAATGAAAGGATCAAAATGTTCGATTTTTTCAAAATTGAAGATTGTTTTTGATTTGTGGTCCACTACAAATGAAGAACTTAGAACTTGAAGAAAGAAGAACGATTTCTAATATTGTTCTTCCTAAATAGTAAGAGATTGTTTTTTATTTTTCCTTTTTTTTTTTTATAATTTTATTTTATCTATATGTCTTTATAAGTTTTACACTTAATTAAATTAATGCACATTCTAGAAGGTAAACAAAAACAGCAACGACAGTAACACAAAAATTAATATTTTTTGTGGATCGATTTTTATTATGACTTTCTTTCCTTCTCATTTTTCAATAATGGGCTGAAGCTTCCCACGTATTTATGTTGCATTCACATTTCTCTTCATGCCCGTAATTATTGTGGCAAAGGTTCATGGTTGTGGGAATCTAATATTCAATCCTCTCTTTATTCTTTAGTTTTGTCTTTCTCGTTGACAAAAAAAAAATAGTTCGTACTATCTTTAATTATGGTTTCACATGGTTAATGTTTTTTTTCCCCTGTTGGGTCAATTACCAAGTTACCCTTGCCCTCTCATTCTAGATTTCTGCCACTAATTACAAGTTCTATTGTTAATTTTAATATTCTATTTTTTTTTTTTCAATTTCTGAAATTACTTTCGAATCCCAGGATAAAAGATATTATAAATATTATAAAATTTAAAAATTACAAATTTTGTAAATAGGAATATAAGATAAAATATAATAAATTTTTTTATGGAATTTAAGATCATGGTGGAATAGATGGAGGGACTAGAATGTGTAAGTTAACCATATATATTAGACGTCTCGAGATTTATGTTGAAGACTTATAAACAAGTATCTCAATTGACTTCATTTAAGGAAATAAACTTCATGGATGTAGGTCTCCATAAGTAAGCCAAGGAAGAAAAATTAGAAAAAGCTTAGTGACTGGAAATTGAGTGAGTGAAGAGAGTCTCTTCTTAAATGTGTTGAAAAAAATTCTTTCCAAAGTGTTTGTCTCTTCCCTTTTATACTAATTTTCTCGAAAAAACTCATCTTAGGTGCAGATGAGACTCTTGATTATTTATTAATTAATGAAATCGCAATGCAATGTTATTAAGCCTCTTAACTCAACAGGTCTTGGATATAAAAGAAATTTAGAATTCCTTCACATTAACGAGTTCTTCATGTCTGTATATCTCCTTCGTCTATCTCTTCCTTAATTCTATATCCTCTTGATATCAATTTACTAACTTGGTTTGACTAATTAAGGCTAACAACACCTCGAATGTCAAGTTCGATCATTCGTGACTCTTCCTTAACCGTATTGGCCGCCCGACTTTTTTTCTTTTATAGAAAGTTGACTATCTGTGTCACTTTCAACTTTTAAATTGGGTAAATAATGTAGACAAACAATAGAACAAAAGAACAGAAAAGAAATAAAATCTGGGAAATCTTTGAATAGTCCGAGAACACAAGCATATAGAAAAAACTTGATCCATTGACTGAGGAGACCAGGAGAGGGTATTGAACTGATATCTTGTCTGGCCTCAGCCCTACACACAAAAAGTTGAATTTGTAAGAGCGGAGGCGTCTGCTGGCTTTGGCATTGCACTGTCTCGCACTGAAATGCTTATTATTGAGTACATAAGGCATGTCTACATCAGTTCACAAACATTGCAGTGCATTTTTTTCAATGTAGATTTATGTAAACTGAGGTTACAAAAAAATCCAAGCTTATAACCACGGCAGATTAGCTTAATTATCTAAGAGCCAAGTTAAACAATAAAGGGGTAAGAAGCCAAGGGAATGGGTAGTGGTAGTTATCCAACTAGTTTTTTCGGAAACCAAATATATTAGGTACAGATAACTGTTCTATGAGAATAGTCGAAGTGTATGCAAGCTGGCCTAAACACTCATGCATATTTAATAAAACTCAAGTCTATGAAATCTATGCTTTGCCTTAAGGCATGGAGACAAAGCTAAAAATATAAATATTTCAATCATTGAGGCATCGTTTAATTTTTCCCACTTTTCCCACTTTATATGGGCTGATCTCAAGAGCATGCATGATTTGATTGTCCAATGGTGAATGTAAGTAACATAAAATTATTTCTTTATAGCACAAGATTGTTACATAGTAGAGATCAAGCATGGTTGCATAATGTAGTAGGTTTGACCATGGCATGCGAACAACATAGAAATACTATTTATACATAGTAGAATAAAACTAGTAGCATACACTCATCATAATGATCTCATTGGCTGCATTGAGCTTGGGCGCATAGTCGTCTAGGCTATGGTTCTTCTGTTGTAGCTCGATCCACGCCCTTTTGTTTCTGTTGTCCTGCTAACTTTGATGCAAATCCAACCACCTTCTCAAAGAACTTGGATATTATTTTTAGTTTGATACTTCCTCTTTTGGGAGGCAGCCTGCCCTTCCTTGGTTTAGACCTGGTTGGTCCAGTAGTTTCCTCCATTGCCATTCAATCCCAAAGCTAGAGATTGAGAAAGGAGATTCTTTGCCTTTAGAGCTTTTATAGTTTCATGTGTAGGGTATATATATATATATATATATATATATAGTAATGAATGTAAGCCGTGTCTTCTGTTTGTGTAAACAATTATTATCCTTTAGCTTTGTCTTTTTGTTCTATCAGGGTTCAATTAACTGAAAGGAGAGTTATATAATTGGACAAGGAAAAGAGTTATACCAGTTCGGTCAATGTATATTATTTGTGTAGAGTCATAAGCTTGCTAGGGAAAATGGGTTGTGTGCTGATTCAGTTTTCGTGGTCATGGAGAAGCATCATTTTATGCTTGTCCCCTTGAAAAGGACTTCCAAAGCTTTTGCAAGCAGCACAGCAGACAACCCTAATCGCTGTCTTCCTCAGGTTGTCGGTAATATAAAAGTTACATCAAAAGTACTGCGAAACTTTGGCCGAATCTTCAACAATTCTCATGCATCATTCTCTGTATGGCCTTTCATCGAGCATTTGCTCTGCATTTCGACTGAAATTCATGTTTTAACCATTACATGAGCTCTTTCCAACCGGCCTGCAAGAACTAACAGCCTTCTAGCTAACCAAACTCACACACGACCATTTTATTTAAGATCTTGAGCTAAATTTGTTATTGGTGATGCAGGAGTAAGTAAAGCTGATATTGGGCAAAAGAGAATGTGGAAAGAAACAGCAGAACAAGATTGAAGAAGATCTTGCAGTTAACATTATGTTCAGATGGGACTCAGTTTTCAACAATGCCACAGTTGATGAACATGGAGATGTCTGTTAAAGCTAAACAAAAGTAAAATAAAAAATTCGATCTTTTCTGACGTTGCTTCCTCCATGCGTCCATTTGGATGGACAATGGACAAGTGAGTTCCAACTCATAGTATTAGTAGCTTTGTTGATTAGAATAATAGTATTAGTAGCTTTGTTGATTAGAATAATCCAGTGAACTTTGTTAAGGATTATTAAGAATGATTCCAAGTTGGCTAATTAAGGGGAAGATCATGAGTTTATAAGTAAGGAAACATAATCTCCATTGGTATGATGTCTTTTGGAAAAACTAAAAGCAAAGTCGCGAGAGGTTATGTTTAAGGTAGACAACATCATACTATCATGAAAAACTTACCATAACTCGTCGTGAACAGGAATTTCTTGCATTATTGGTCAAGAAATAAGCCTAAAATTTTGGGTCTTTGCATTCCTTTAAAGCTCTCTGTTCCCTGAATAAGCCTAAATGGAAGTCGGAACTCTGTTGATATTTGGTTCTGTAGCATTTATTTATTTTTTTTGCCCATGTTTGGCTAATAGTTATTACTTAGGTCAATAAGATCACTTATAATAAGGAAGTGTTTTTGTAGACAATTTTTTATTAAATTTGGAGCTGGATGAGTGGGATAAGAAAATTTATTCTCGTTGAAGTGGTAAGTTTTTGGAAATATTGTTATTTTTTATAGAAAAATTCATTTTTTCTCTTTACCAAGTTTTGATTAGCTATCTAGATTAGTGATCTTAAGGATATGATCTTCCAAGAATTGATATTTACTTATACCAATAAATTGTTCGTTTATTTTAGTGGCTCAACATAGAAAATTTTAAATTAAACGTGTTGGTTTACCTTTTGAAAATTATAATAAAAAATATATAAATGACAACAAAATATGTTGGAGGAACTTGTGGACAGGTGAACTGAATACTTCAATCTCTTCCCTTTTTATGTTACTTCAATCTTGTTTATTTTATTTTACTTTTTATTTACTACTTGTGTGGACAGGTTCTTGATGTTTTGCTTGATGATTTTGTGGATTATCTGCATCCTGTGTGGAGAATATCCGCATCCTGTGTGGAGAAAGTTCCATATTGACTAATTTAGGGGATGATTATAGGTTTTTAAGTAAAAAATACATCTTCTAAGAGATCTTTTGGGGAAGTCCAAGCTCTATACAAACCTAATAAAACTAGTTTAAATAAAAAGAAAGATCGAGGCACCTTTAGTGTGTAAGACATGATAACCACTACACCACAACAACTTCACACATAAGTTGTGCACTAGGCAACTAAATTTGTGATAAACTTAATGAAACTAGTTTAAATAAAAAGAATAAACTTACTATATTGCTGCCCAGGATCGAACTGGAGACCTTTAGTGTATAAGACTAACGTGATAACCACTAAACCATAGCAACTTCAAACATAAGTTGTGAACTAGGCAACTAAATTTGTGCTCTAAGTATAAACTTAATGAAACTCGTTTAAATAAAAGAAATGAATTTAATGAAACTAGGTTAAAATAATAAGAAGAATAAACTTAATATATTGTTGCCCAGGATTTGGGGACCTTTAATGTGTAAGACTAACATGATAACCACTACACCACACCAACTTCACACATAAGTTGTGCACCAGGCAACTAAATTTGTGCTCTTGAGTATAAACTTGATGAAATTAGTTTAAATAAAAGGAATGAACTTAATGAAACTAGGTTAAAATAAAATGAATAAACTTACTATATTGCTACCTAGGATCGAACTGGGGACCTTTAGTGTGTAAGACTAACGTGATAACCACTACACCACAGCAACTTCAAACATAAATTGTGCACTAGGCAACTAAATTTGTGCTCTAAATATAAACTTAATGAAACTCATTTAAATAAAAGGAATGAACTTAAATGAAACTAGGTTAAAATAATAAGAAGAATAAACTTACTATATTGCTGCTCAAGATTGGGCTGGGGACCTTTAGTGTGTAAGACTAACGTGATAACCACTACACCACAACAACTTCAAACATAAGTTGTGCACCAGGCAACTAAATTTGTGCACTTAGTATAAACTTGGTGAAATTAGTTTAAATAAAAGGAATGAACCTCATGAAACTAGGTTAAAATAAAAAGAATAATATACTTACTATATTGCTGCCCGGGATCGAACTGAGGACCTTTAGTGTGTAAGCCTAACGTGATAACCACTACACCACAGCAACTTCAAACATAAGTTATGCACTAGGCAACTAAATTTGTGCTCTCAGTATAAACTTAATGAAACTAGGTTAAAAATAATAAGAAAAATATACTTACTATATTGCTGCCCAGGATTGAACTAGGGACCTTTAGTGTGTAAGACTAATGTGATAACCACTACACTACAGCAACTTCACACATAAGTTGTGGGGACCTTTAGTGTGTAAGACTAATGTGATAACCACTACACTACAGCAACTTCACACATAAGTTGTGCACCAGGCATCTAAATTTGTGCTTTGAGTATAAACTTGATGAAATTAGTTTAAATAAAAGGAATGAACTTAATGAAACTAGGTTAAAATAAAAAGAATAAACTTACTATATTGCTGCCCAGGATCGAACTGGGGACCTTTAGTGTGTAAGACTAACGTGATAACCACTACACCACAGCAACTTCACACACAAGTTGTGCACTAGGCAAGTAAATTTGACTAACGTGATAACCACTACACCACAGCAACTTCACACACAAGTTGTGCACTAGGCAAGTAAATTTGTGCTTTAAGTATAAACTTAATGAAACTAGTTTAAATAATAGGAATGAACCTGATGAAACTAGGTTAAAATAAAAAGAATAAACTTACTATATTGCTGCCCAAGATTGAACTGGAGACCTTTAGTGTGCAAAACTAACATGATAACCACTACACTACAGCAACTTCACACATAAGTAAATTTGTACTGTTAAAATAATCAGAAGAATAAACTTACTATATTGCTGCCCAAGATTGAACTGAGGACCTTTAGTGTGTAAGCCTAACGTAATAACCACTACACCACAGCAACTTCAAACATAAGTTATGCACTAGGCAACTAAATTTGTGCTCTCAGTATAAACTTAATTTAACTAGGTTAAAAATAATAAGAAGAATATACTTACTATATTGCTGCCCAGGATTGAACTGGGGACCTTTAGTGTGTAAGACTAATGTGATAACCACTACACTACAGCAACTTCACACATAAGTTGTGCACCAGGCATCTAAATTTGTGCTTTGAGTATAAACTTGATGAAATTAGTTTAAATAAAAGGAATGAACTTAATGAAACTAGGTTAAAATAAAAAGAATAAACTTACTATATTGCTGCCCAGGATCGAACTGGGGACCTTTAGTGTGTAAGACTAACGTGATAACCACTACACCACAGCAACTTCACACACAAGTTGTGCACTAGGCAAGTAAATTTGTGCTTTAAGTATAAACTTAATGAAACTAGTTTAAATAATAGGAATGAACCTGATGAAACAAGGTTAAAATAAAAAGAATAAACTTACTATATTGCTGCTCAAGATTGAACTGGAGACCTTTAGTGTGCAAAACTAACATGATAACCACTACACTACAGCAACTTCACACATAAGTAAATTTGTACTGTTAAAATAATCAGAAGAATAAACTTACTATATTGCTGCCCAAGATTGAACTGAGGACCTTTAGTGTGTAAGACTAACGTGATAACCACTACACTACAACAACTTCACAAATAAGTTGTGCACCAGGCAACTAAATTTGTGCTCTGAGTATAAACTTGATGAAATTAGTTTAAATAAAAGGAATGAACTTAATGAAACTAGGTTAAAATAAAAAGAATAAACTTACTATATTGCTGCCCAGGATTGAACTGGGGACCTTTAGTGCGTAAGACTAACGTGATAACCACTACACTACAGCAACTTCACACATAAGTTGTGCACCAGGCAACTAAATTTGTGCCCTGAGTATAAACTTGATGAAATTAGTTTAAATAAAAGGAATGAACTTAATGAAACTAGGTTAAAATAAAAAGAATAAACTTACTATATTGCTGCCCAGGATCGAACTGGAGATCTTTAGTGTGTAAAACTAACGTGATAACCACTACACCACAGCAACTTGACACATAAGTTGTGCACTAGGCAACTAAATTTCTGCTCTGAGTATAAACTGAATGAAACTAGTTTAAATAAAAGGAATGAACTTAATGAAACTAGGTTAAAATAAAAAGAATGAGCTTACTATATTGCTACCAAGGGTTGAACTAGGAACCTTTAGTGTGTAAGGCTAATGTGATAACCCCTACACTACAACAACTTGACACATAAGTTGTGCACTAGGCAAGTAAATTTGTACTCATCAAAGTATAAACTTAATGAAACTAGTTTAAATAAAAGAAATGAACTTACTATATTGCTGCCCAAGATCGAATTGAGGACCTTTAGTGTGTAAGACTAATGTGATAACCACTACACTACACCACACCAACTGGACACAAACTGTGCATTAGGCAAGTAATTTGTTTTATATTTTGAAAGTAGCCTACTCAGATTCTGTATGTTAACCATAGTTTCAAAATACTTCATAATAGCCATAGCATTCTTTTTCCATTTTTCTAAACAGGGCTCAAATTTGAGTGAACTGAAGTGATAAATGTAAGCAGTTGAAATGAAGGCAGAGAAAAATTTAAAAATGAAATCCACAAAGATAGCAGCTCTTGTGTCATCGATTATACTCGGCATACAGATCTCAATATGTACAAATTTTTCATTACAAATGGAAACCAATTATCGTAATAATTAAAGTAAACAATCAAAATGGCCAAAGCAAATGTAGAAGTAACTCTCCAAAACCTCTCGAACAAAAGGCAAGATCCGATTCCTCAAACAGAAATAATAGCATCGAAATCAAAACCTAGAAAGTTCGATTAACCAACAAAAGAAGAACAAACCAAGGCAGAACAGGAATCCGTCCATGTCAAACGAATCAATACAACATAAATCCACTCAAAATAAAAAATAAATCAAAAAGCAGAAACGGAAATCTGAATACAATGGAGAATCATTGGAAAGACCAAAAAGAAAGTACAGAGAAACGCAAAGAAAGCGACATTCAGAGAAATGGACGCAGAATTCAAATCTGAATAGTAACAGGATTACCTTAAGTGGATCAGAGCCGAAGAGTTCCTCGATTTGAGTATACTGTAAGAGAGTCTAACCAGAAGAACTCCGTCGCCATTGATCCTTCCTCTTCATTGCTTTACTCCCAGTTATCTTCTTAACAAGTACACGAAATGATTTTATAAGCGTTACAGGTGAAAATACTCAAAAGAGTTTCTTTTATTAATAATGATAATTAACGTTACCATTATTTTCATATTTTTCTGTACCCTTTTTTTTTTTTTTTACATCTGAAATATTAAGTTACGGTAATAAAATATTTAATAGGAAGTAAAAATGTTATTTTTTTTTCAAAATATTTAACACCACCAACGTTACTTTCACACACCTATTTTCACCGCAAATTTTTTTTTTTAAAATTACATCTATTTTAATCTCTCTATCTAAATGAAATTTCATTAATCAATTATTTGAAAAAAAAAAAAAAAAACTCTCAACTCGAACACCCAATTTCATCTGTTCAAATCACTTTCAAAAAGTGGTCGAATGTTACACCTTCATTATATCATAAACGCCCGATCCACTCTTATATCATAAACGCCCGATCCGCTCGGACCAATTAACCTCACAATTTTAAAATTTACCTGGTAGGAGGAAAATATTATTTACACGGGTGTAAAAATCTCTCTCAGAGATGTGTTTTAAAACTGTAAGGTTAACCGCATACGTTTGATTCAAGTGCTATCATCGTCACATCACTTGTAACAGCTCAAACCCACCACTTGAAAATAATTCACACCCATTAATCTCACGATTTTAAAATGTCTTTTAGGAAGAAAACGTTCCTTACAAGAGTGTGAAAACCTCTCTCACATCCATAATTTAAAACCACGAGGCTAACATCTATATGTAACCACCCAAAGCAGACATAAACCATCAACTTCCTGTCATCATCACATCACCTGTAACAGCCCAAGCCCACTGCTAAGATATTGTCGGATTCGACCCATTACGTATTGTCATCAGTCTCACAGTTTTAAAACGCATATGTTAGAGAGAAAACATTTCTTACAAGGGTGAAGAACTCTTTCCCTCACAGCCGTGTTTTATAATTGTGAGGCTGATGACAATACGTAACAAGTCAAAACAGACAATATCTGTTAATGGTAGGTTCAGACTGTTACATCACCTGTTTTCCCCGTAAAACATATCTCGAAAAGATCTTTAACCCAACATAGGCATTCAAAGCTGCTTTCTATAGATAACATCAAGAATTTACAAACATGTGCAAATGAGTTAAATACAATATTTATGGAAGACTTTAAATCAAACTATATAAACTTCACCACCACTCATTACCAGTCTACAATAACTCAAAGACTGGTTTTCTTTTTCTTCAGAAATGGGAGTGGGAAGAAACAGCTGTGCAAGCCTTCTCTAGATTTCACTAAATTTTAGCCGCCGAATGAATTTCAGTCCTTTCGTCAAGTCATCTCATAGCAAAAGGACTGTTCATTTGGAGAAAAAACTACTTAAAAAGTGACATTATATTATGTACGAACCGATCACTTATCTTAGGTGCGTGTCGTAGGCGTTGAAAAGGGAGTCCGGAACAATCGTAGGCAACTTATCTACGTACTTGAAAAGCCTTTTGAGATTCTCTCGAGTCACCGTTGCCATGTCCACAATGTCCCTGTTATCAGTAAATACCCAGAGATCGCCCGAGTTTACTCTCTTAAGACTGTCACGACAGAAGGGGCATGACTGGGAACGTGTTCGCCTGAAGAACATTCATGAGAACAATGTAATTATTTGAAGTCGATATAAGGTAGCAAAAGCAGTTAAATGCAGGCAGTCATAAATATTAAGGGCTCCATCCAATCAATTAAAGATGAACAAAAGGCTTTCGACTCTGTAGCTTCTGTAATTAACGAAGACAATAAATATTAAGGTGCATAGGAAAATTTTAATTAATCCTTCTTAGTTCTTAGTTTAATAAGCTACCGAGAAAACGTTAAAAGTAGAACAAAAGAGATGATAGTACCATTCACGGTAACATTTCAAGCACAACGCGTGGTTGCAGTTGGGCAATACAACCTTGCTAGTAGTCTCCATGCATATTCCACATTCTTCTTCTCGTTCAATGTCAGCATCCGAACACTGTATACATTCATTGTCATCTCTTCTTCGGTACCTTTCCATGCAGACAGCATTCTGTTTTTTATCCTCAGTATCGGTAACACCTCTCTGAAGTTGCAATAGAGAGGGGTAAATAACAGCTGATCATAGCACAAATTACAGAAGTCAGTAGTTAAAAAATAAATATATAGCAAACAATCATATGATGGAAAATGTAAAAATACTCGAAAACTACCATAGAATTCCCTGATGCTTGCTTTTCTCTCGTGGGTGGACATGGTGGTCGTACCATCCACGTAGACCTGCAGCACAATGTACATAGTGAATTCAATAACGCTAAATAGACATAAAAGTGATGATGTCAAAATGTAATGCTAGGAGACCACGAGGTGACAAACTTGACCTTGTAAATTAAAATCCTCAGCAGTCCAAGAGCACCTGCAAGATGGCAATCTGTCCATTGCACTAGGAAGAGGAACAAGTGAGCAGCAGGACTGTATGACATTCTCATCTGAAGGCAGGGGCCATCATATTCCCCGGGAAACTCCGATGCCCTACAGCTCAGGAACAGTAAACATTAAGCTGACATACTTGAAAAACAAGCAACCTCAAGAATCTCCAAGAACAACAAACCAGAGAGAAATCACAAGCGTTGACACATTTCAGCTTATTATGTATTTGTAACTTTTCATACCTGGAACAAAGCATGATCCATAACATAAAAACTACGGCCCATTGGAACATGTTTGTTTTTTTTTTCTTTTCTGTCTTTTATTCTCTTTAAGAAGAAGACAAAAAAAAAACGGATCATATTTCTCAAAATTTCAAATTTAAAAAGAACAAAAAAACTAAGAAAGTGCTTGTGCTTAGTAATTTTTTTGAAGTATAAAGTATGCCTTGTTTATTCATTATCACACTTCAAAGAGTAGATGCATCTGAGAATATTCGCTAAACCACCACTAAAGTTCTCTATCTATAATCATTTACATACTCGAATAAATTACAAAGAATATGGAAAGAGCAATAAATGGAAAGAGTAATAAATGAAACAAGATATTTGGCTATAATAAAAGGGAAAATGAGTCGTAATGGAGACATTTGCCAATAATAAAGATCAAATATGATACGGCGCATCTGGAGAGCTAGGAAGAACAAGATTAAATGAGTTCTAAACTACTCTCTCAGAGAAAGTACTGCATAGTTCAAGTTATTGTTCAAGAGACGAGGTACATAGGTAAATAATTCGCTTCTTGAATTCATAAATATGTCAAAGAGTGTTCCTAATCTGCACCACAAGTCCACAGTGGGATGCAGAAATCTTAGAGAACACATCAACAATAAACCCAAGAACAATTCATGAGAATGATGACAAACTATTTGAAGTGTGACATATACATTGCCAAATCATCCAACGCCAAATGACCAAACAATTTCCCTTTCAAGAAAGAGAACTATAAAACAGAGAAAGAAACACAAATTTGTCCCTATATATGAGTGTATATGAGCGTTAGCAAGACAGAAACCAAATCATCATTGAAATAAAAAATTACACAAAATGAGTTTGCCAAGCTCCAAACACAGCAGGTAAACGACAATCACGTTCCAAAAATTCATTATTAACGAAGAGTATACGGCTCATAAACAGCAACTTCAAGACCCACAATACTAAAAATCAAACCTAGAAACTGCATTACAAGCAAAATCGGAGGGAGAAGCCCAGACACCAAAAGTGATCAGACAAAAGCCTTCCATAAACAGTCAAAGACGATATTCAAGGCAGAGAAAAAAAAAAAGAATCAAAGCTCACTTACAGAGTATTAGCATGCTGAATATCAGCTTCAAGCAATTTGAGAGAGTCCTTGAACGATTTTCTCATGGAAGATACATACATCTCCACCCAAGCGGGGAAGAAACAAGCAAAACCGAACAAATTCCTCCAAATTTCCGCTCCAAAAACGCGAAGAAAAAACCCTAATTCGCAATCGAAGAAAGAAAAAGACCCTCTGTCTCTATCTCTATCTAGAAGTGGGTAGAGAGCGTGCGAGCTCCGTTTTCTCTCTCTCTCTCTCTTTCTCTCTCTAGAAGAGTGCGTATTTTAGAGCTTCGTGTTGCTTCGGAGGAGTACCTCTTTGAAGGCGAAGGTAAGAGAGTGGGAGGGACACGTGGAAGATGGACGGCTCGTCGAGAAGCGTCGGAAGAAATAAAATATTATAAAAAATTAATTATACTATCGAGATAATACTAATTAAAAAAGCAAAAAAAATAGCTAAACGCAGCGTTTTGGAGACGGCCTTATCCATTTTTCTGCCAACCGGTTTTATGGGATATTTGTGTCTGCCACTTTACCACTATCACCCTGAAATTACCATTTCACCCCTTTCTTCTATTTTAATATCTAAAAAACAGGGGAAAAAAGACAAAATATTATCGTAATCCAAATATATTTAATTTTAAACATATTCAAAATCAATTTCATAAATAAATAAACTAATAATAATAAGGAAAAATAACTTCTTTTAATAGAAATTGAGTTATGCTAGTTAACACTATGATTTGAAATTTAATTCTCTAGCATATTAACATATATTAATTTTTATTTCTTAATTGATAAAGAATTATAATTCTAAATATATGCTTAATTTCGAATTTTATTTACAAAAATTATTTTTAAATGCAAATAAATTAATACAACTTAATTAAAAACAAAAAAAAATGAATACGGTATTCATCTATAAATAATTTATATATTTAAAATTATAATTAACAAATTGAGTCAGCACTTTTTATTTTTTATATAATAAAATCATTTTCAAAGCCAAATTTACTTTTAAAAAGAATAAAAAAAGACGTCGTAGAATTAAATTTCTATTTAAATAATAAATATTTAAAAAAATTTGATTTGATTTCCATCCAAATAAAAATTAAAAATTTTATTCGATATTGAAATAACGCTTAAAGTGACTTTCAAATCAATCCAGAGGTTAATAAAGTAATTCATATCTTTATTCTTTTAAAAAATTTAATTTATCTTTAGGTATTTAAAATTCTCGATTAAAACATGTCTATATATATATATATATTTTGGTAAGCATTCAAAAATATTAGCAAATAATGAAAGCATTTGAATATATATTTGGGCATGTACTCAACCTAACAAGTTAAAAAAATTATTTATTAAAATTTAACTCTTTATTTTCGAAAAAATTACATATATATATATATACTTTATTAATTAGAAAATTACGATGGGGTGGGAAGTAAAATTATGCTTTTTAGATTATTCAGTATGCACATAATAACGCCATTCTGACCGCAGGCTCCTAATCCATGTCTATGTGACCGGAATACGCCGTCTGAAAGCGGTGGCAGCCGCCGTAGTGGCCGTGCAATTAGGTTTTCTTTCCAAATGAACTTCCTACTTTCTAACAGATCCATTTGTTTTTCCTGTCTTCATTTCCCAGCTCCCAGTAATTTATTTCACCGACAAAGCCCGAATCTCCTAATCTGTAATCCGAAGAGATCGCTTCTGAGAACTTCCATATTCTGCTCCAGCGGAGATTGCAATCTGACGAACTCCGCAAGATACGGCGGATGGGACGATAATGGTTTTGTAAGTGATTCAGATCAGTTCCGTAATTTTTTGGTTTCTGTTGGCATCGATCATAAAAGACATTTGTTCACGTTTGTCGTCGGGTTTTTATGTGCTTTGGCCATTTCCAGAGTTAAAGTCTCTTCAATTGCTGTTTTTCCAGCATCTGTTTTTGTTTTTGCTGTTGGATTTTCTCTTGGATTTGTTCGTGGTGGAAGTGTAGATGACCTAAATTTACTTGGGAATAAAAACCGTGGGAAAGAGGAAATTTCTGGGTTTCACGCTGAGAGTTTAAGAAATTTGGTGGAGATTTTTGATCGGTTTGCTGTCAAACTTGATAATTTGAAATGTAGTATACAGAATGCTATTGATTCTAGGGAAATTACACTTAGTGATTTAGAAAGCTACGTTAAGGTTTTAGAATCGAATGATTTTTCAACCTCCAATGCTATGAAGGCTGTTGAGGCCTTGATTAATGATGGGGGCAGCTCCAAAGCTGTTGTTCTTGAGAATCATAAACCAAGTAGAAAAGTTAAAGGCCCAGGAGATGTGGGATTTGAGCTTTTGCGATCCTTCGGCAGTTTGCTAGGAGAAAAGTTGGTTGGTTCTAAGCCCAACAAAGTGAAAAACAATGTTAAGCCACAGATGCCTCCGCTCAATTCGGTTGGCAATCAAACTAAAAGGAGCTCAATACCATCTGAAGTTGGTTCGATAGATACCGCTACTGGTTCTAATCCAGCTATAAGTTTAGATGCTTTTGAGGTATCGAGGAAAAAGCATGCTATGGAGATGGATTATTTTACACAAGTTAACATTACTCGAGAAAGGGATAGCATAAATTCAAAGGGAATGCATGGGAGTTCAAAAAGATTTATTGATGGTGAAGACTATGTCTACAAGAATAATAGATTGCAGTACCGGGATGATTACCTTAATATTTCTAACACGGATCTTAACAACAAACTCGAAAATTCACAACTTCATGATAATTTTCTTAATGCTGGGGACTATAGTTTCAAAATGAAGCATAGGGAGACTAAAACTTCCTTTGTAGAAGAGCGTGGATTCGAGGAAAATACTGGAGCTTATAGGTCCTCTCACATGTCGAAGAGCGAGAGTGAAATATATAGATCCCAGTTTAGAGAAGCGGGAGCAAGGAAAAAGGAAAATTCTCATTTAACTGATCAACCATTTGGAGAAGAGAACGATGTTGCTGCCTCATCATCTTCATTGATTTATGATGATGCAATGTTCAATAAATGCCTTATGGAAGCTAATGATCTTTTAAAACAAGCTAAGGATTTGATGAAGTATAGACGCGATGAAGAGCATGTGGAGGTCATATTATGTCAGTCTGCTAGTTTGTTGGCAAAGGCAACAACTATGAAGCCCATGAGTTTGCTGGCAGTTGGCCAGTTGGGAAATACTTATCTTCTCCATGGAGAATTAAAGTTAAGAATTAGTCGCGAGTTAAGAAGACTTCTAGCAGGAAAAGAGCCCGAATCTATTGGGAAATGGTTTGAAATGGTGGAGGGACTAGATGATGATTCAATTACTAGAAGAGATAAACTAACATCCATTCTCGTTAGTGTGTGTGAAGAGTGTGAAGAACTTCTTGTGATGGCAGGTAGAAAGTATAGAATGGCATTATCGATCGACCGGAATGACGTGCGAGCACTATATAACTGGGGTCTTGCCCTTTCCTTTCGTGCACAATTGATTGCAGACGTTGGACCGGTGAGTACTACTACACATTGGTAACCTGAATGCTGTTATTCTAGTAATTTTTTGATAGTCGTCATCCACAAATAGCTTGTTCTTTTTATGCTATATGATGTTTATCGCTATTTAAAAGGTTCTCCTTGTCGTATCAAATTTCAGGAATCAGCTTTTGATGCTGATAAGGTCTTTTTAGCTGCCATTGATAAATTTGATGCAATGATGTCAAGAGGCAATGTTTATGCACCCGACGGTATGTTTTCTAGACTTGCTGCTCAAATCGAATGTCACAAAAGTATACATGTGCTTGCTATAAGTGAGATCTAGAAAACTTGCCTTCAAGAAATTTTAGAAATTGAAATAATTTTGAAGTCCTTGGGGTGTGCTTCATATGTGGACACCAAAATCTGAAAGCTTGGGAATCCAAAACTCATGTTAGTATTAAGCATTGATATCTTAATTCTACCATGAATACCTAACATAAAAGCTAATTCTTTAGGTTCCCATTTATTAACATTATTTCCACGTATGAGTTTCTTTTTATTAATGTTTTCAGGATCTAGACTAAGATTCAAATACTAAAAAAAAACATAGTTTTTTTGAAACTCGTTTGTTTTTTTAAAATTTGGCTAAAAATTCAAATGTTTTCTTAACAACGATGAACTTCGAGAAAACAAACACAAATTTCAATCATCAAAGGAGAGGCCTTAATGTCTTTAATATTGACTATTCTTTTGGTAGAGTTTTTACATACCAAACACAAGCATCCAATTCCATTGTCAACTTACCAAATACCCTTTCATGATTATTATAGAAACATTGAAACATGTGCGATCACTTACCAACCGGTTCTGTGTAGCGTATTGCTGAGTAGGAGATGGCCCTGGGGCGGGTTTGAAATATTGAAAGATAAGCTTTGCTTATGTTTAGTATCCAGTTAGTTATAATAGGGTGTGGTTATTATAGAGGTTAGCTGCATGAGGGGGTTGGTTTGTTAGACTGGGCATTGAGATTGGGCACTCCTTTCACAGTTTAATAGTCCAGAAGTAATAAATGGATGAACGAGCGAGGGATAGAAGGAAATCTGGTGAGAAATCGAGAGGATGAACAATTCAAAGCCCTCGAAAATCTGGCAGCTGAGTTGATTCTAATGGTTAGAATTGTTTAGGACACCGTTTATGAGAGATGGTTATACTACCAACGATTTTCATTTTGCGCGTAACATAACGCATCTTCCTCATTGCAGCTCTGTTCAGATGGGCTATGACGTTGCAGCAACGATCTCGGTTAAGGCCTAACAATAGCAAAGAGAAGGCAAAGTTGCTGTTGCAGGCGAGACGGCTCTATGAGGACTCATTGAGCATGAACTCCGACAATGTTCAAGTAAGAGAAGCCTTAATGTCCTGTATATCTGAGCTTCAATTCGGGCAGTATTAGCAATTTTGTTAGAATTTTGATTGGTGGTCGTAGCTGTTCATTTATGCTATTAAACGAGTCGTGTCGTTACTACAACAGCTCGTTGCATTGATACCCATCTGAAAAAGAAAATCAATATAGAAGACAGTAATAATAATAGAAGCCACTGCTTGAAATGTTGCGGAGGCAATACCAATACATGAGATGAACTTCCATTTCTATACGATGGTATGATTGTAACACCCGCTCATCGTCAACGCGATTAACAGGAGTTACCATTGACAATATTAAGAGACTCTGATATCCAATCATAAAATTCAAAATATTTCTAAAAACATCCAGTAAAATATTTTAAAAAATATAAAACGACTAAGGTAAACTCTTGACAACGAAAACATAATTACATAACAGACCCAGACATGGATTGCTAGTAGTCTCTAACCTGCTGGTCTCGTCCTCGGCTGGCCATTCCTAGTAGTCTCTAACCTGCTGGTCTCGTCCTCGGCTGGCCTGCAGCATCTACATCTGGGAAGAAAAGTTATAATAATTCTGATGAGTAATTAGATTACTCAGTAAGTAGCTAGCTTATCATTCACGGGTTCATAACTAATCTTTCCAGGTGTTTTTACGTTTTATTCACTACTGACTCCTATTTCTCTTACTAGGGTCATCTGTTCGTTAATGAAGTATCTCAGCTACCTCCAGCTAGGTTACTGACTCTCCTTCGATATGCTTATCTAAAATTTTCGGACTCGTATGTAAGACTCGCTCTCGGTCAAATACGGCCCGTCTACTAATTGCTCTGGCGGCCTGTTTATCTCATATACTAACGGTCAGGAGTACTCATGCTCCCTAACTTAGCACACAGCGCGTTGGCCAGGAACTCCGCGGGAATTAGTAGACTATCATACTCATATAAATAAGCCATAGCTCAACAACCAATAAGCATATCTAGAGTCATAACCTTTCCATTAACATGCATAACATACTCACAGTTACTGCATGCTTTCATACATGTATCATGATCAACACATAGAACATTCTGACAATCATTTATATCATGCTTACATCACAGGCAAGCAGTCATAATATACAATAAACACTAAATATCATCAAAGCTCCTCATAACATATTAAGCTCTTAATCAGGTAAACAACATACTCACATGTTGTAAAACAAGTTAAGAACTAGTTCAAAGGTCGATACGCTACTTACTTGGTTGCGAACTCCTTTTCCCCCTTGAATGTACGTTTAATAGTATTTCAACACAATTCCTTCCTATTAGACCTATATTTTATCAATTTCAACATAAGTATAGACCAATTTTGATAGGACAGGTCAAAAGGAGTCGAACGGGACAAACCGGGAGCCAAAATACCTTCTCACGCGCCCTCACGCGCCAACACAAGGTCGGGGTTCGTTTCTCACGCGCCTGATCCACGCACAATCGCACTTCCACTCGCGGCCTCCCACGCGCCTCGCGTGTCCTTCACGCGCTCGTCTTCAACCTCTCCTCCCTGCAATTTTTCCCAATCTTTTCCTTTAATACCCGTTGTGTCCCGAAGCAAAAATTTCATCTCTACAGCTCGAATTTCGTTCTGATTTCTTCTACAACTTTATAGATCTTCTAACTACGGTTCTAACAAGCCTTATTTCATAACTTATTATGAAGTATGAATCAAGATATCGAGATTTAAAAGTTCGGTGATATGGGTTTTTCGTTACCTTCGAATCACCGTCCGATTCAGCTCGTGGCCGTATCCCCTTCCTCAAATGATTCCTCAGCAACAACCCCTCTTCCTTTACCCTCGATTGATGTCCAATTTTAAGCAACCAAAACTCGAATTCTCAAAAATTTCCTCCTCTGTTTTTTTGGGTTTTTCGCTAATCACCATTCTTCGTTTTTTCTTCCTTTTTAAAGCCTAATCAAGCCCTAATACGCTTCCACATCCTCTAATCATCCACTCATTTTTTCTTCCTTTTTAAAGCCTAATCAAGCCCTAATACGCTTCCACATCCTCTAATCATCCACTCATCCATCCCACACCTCCAGCTACGCGTCCGCCGCCCCTCATCCCCCTTTACAGCAGCTGCTTCGTTTTTTTATTATTATTATTATTATTATTATTATTATTATTATTATTATTATTATTATTATTATTATTATTATCATCATCATCATCATCATCAAACACACAACACATAAATACAAAATACATATTATCATTATTTTAGGTTGTTACAATGATAAAGAGAAATTGATGTTTATCGACAAGTTTCTGATGGTTTATATCATATTTTTCATATAGAAGTAGTCATTTATAAAATAAACAATGAATGAGCTCTTGTATCTAGTCCGTTCCTAACTGAAAAACCAAGTCAATCCATTCGTATGTTTCAAACGATGCACTATAGAATTGTGAGATCTCACATTGGTTGGAGAGAGAAATAAAACATTTCTCGTAAGGATGTGGAAACTTCTCCCTAGTAGATACATTTTAAAACGAGGCTGATGGTGATATCTAATTGGCCAAAGCAAACAATATATACATATTTAATTGGCCAAAGCAAACAATATATACATTTTAAAACTATAAGGCTGATGGCGATATCTAATTGGCCAAAGCAAACAATATATGTTAGTGGTGAGTTTGAGCTGTTACAAATTGTATCAATGAGTACGTTGGGCTCCCAAGGGAGTGGATTGTGAGATCTTACGTGAGTGTGGAAACCTCTTTCTAGTAGACGTGTTTTAAAATCGTGAAACTGACGACGATACTGTTACAAAAATAATTCAGATTTCAAAGTCTCATAGATGCTTCTTGAAAAAGGAAGTTTAGAAAGCTGCAATAATCTACAGTTATCATAAGAACTGGTAGAAAGTGAGTCTCTACGTGTTAAGGATTTACATTGGATCCAAAATAAAGTAAGCGAAATAACACAACTGAGTTCAAAGCCACACCCAATGTAGAACGTTATTATTGTAGTTTCGGGTTAAGATTAGGCAAAGCTGTTGCTGATGTCCTTTTAACGCAAGGATTTCAAGTGCTCCTGGAAAATCTTCAGCATCGATGCAAACGTGATGATACCAACCAAGGCTCCATCTTCTTCGATCACCCACATACTTGCAACACGGCGCGCAAGAGCTTGAATCATCACTGCCACCAATGAACTCCGGGGATTGCACACAGCAGCCTCTGAGCTCCTCACTTGCCTGGTTGAACACCTTCGTAACTTTCCACCGCTTCCCCAGCTAGAGACAGAATCATCATCTGAGGAAGATGAATAAAATGAAGAACATGAGAATATTGGTGTCTCTTCTTCCACCCAGTCCAACAGTGCCCCTAAGTCTCTTTCTTCCAGTCTGTCTTTGATCAAATGAACCAAATCCTCCGGTGGGTTACCATAGTCAACATACGCCATTAGCTCACCTGCTGAAAGTGTTGCAATCGCAGCCGTTACAGTTACATCACAAGAATTCATTGTGAGGGGTGAGATTTCTCCGATCAACTTCCCATCTGAATCGACAATTGCAACGGAGGATTGCTGGATGATGGCTTGAGAAAGGAGGGGCAGGGCAGAAAATGCAGGATCGTCGTAGTGTACAGCAAGGATGTTGGCTGTGTCGATGGCGTTGAGGGAATTAATGGGAGTGATGGAGGTTGGGCAAAAAAGCCCAATAGAGTTGAGGAGGTAACGGATTATGTCCTCTTGGGTGAGCCAACAGTATTCAAGGACATTGTGAAGCGGGCAGTCGAATGGTGCAACTTCCTTGAGAACCTTCTTTCTAGACTTTGCAGAGGTTTTAGTTTGAATTGGGACTACGAGATTTTGCGCGCCTTCGAGGAGGAGATCTATGGCTTCCACCAAGCTGAAAGTTATCGGAGAAAGCTATCAGTTTATACATTAAAAGCGATATATATTTCGGCTACATGGAAGAATTGGTAAACGAAATGACTCCTGACATTAGAATTCTGCACAATCAGCCTTTTGTTCGAAGCTTCTAGGATCATCGTTATCGATCGATTAAGCTCTAATATTGTAGAGAAATTCAGTTTTCTAATGCAGATTATAGGAGACGATTGAGAATATCATAAAAGTTTCAGAGGAAGCACAGAGGATTATTAATTCAAAAGTCATGCAGAAAGCCAACAAGAAAATCTAGCTAAGAAAAAATTGGATAAAGAAGAGAAACAGGAAATATTATATTCAAATAAAAAATCAATAAACATGGATCATGCTGTTTTGCAGTTCATAGTTCTGAGATTGATTTTCAAGATCAGAGTGAATTACAGAGATGGTGTTTAAATAGGCCGAAATCGAAGGAGATGTAAATGAAAATTGCACGTTTTCGTCATCAACAGAGCAGAGAAAACACGGCAATATTCTATTCCAACTCCAGAGAAACCAAGAACGCAACAAATTTTCCAGGAAAAAAAGCAAACGTGAATCGGAATACAAAAACAAGAAAATTCAAAACGGAAGAACAATATATACTCGAACAAGATAAAGTGAAGGAAAACAGAATTACGCACCTAGCATGAGGCTCTAAATACCTAACGACGACAGGAACCTCAGGAATGAGAATCGAAACATAAGATTGAAGCGCGACGGCAGGTTGCGAGAGGTTCTCTTCTCTACAAAGGAATAAGATAACATCAACAACAGAAACCTTGCCAATACATCGGCAATCATGATCGGAGATAGTTTTAGAGGAATGGCAGGCGCAACTCCAAACGCTGATGTGGTTTTGACGGAGCCTCTTGAGCACAGAGAGGGCGTGGGCGAGTGTGGCGGAGACAGGGATAGACCTTAGTGGAGGCTTTCCAAGGCATATGTCAGAGACCTCATGAGCCAATAACCTCATAGCCATGCACAAGCAGGAAGACGAACACAGAGGAGAGAGAAACTGAGGTTGAAGAAGCTTCTAGAGAGAGAGAGAGAGAGAGAGAGGAGGAGGAAGACGCTCGTGAGTTCGTTTCTAACTTCATTCCACTATTATTGTGAAGAGGACGATCGCTTTTGCATTTTAAAATCAGTTTTTTTTGTTTTTTTTAAATTAAAAAAAAGAGGTTAAAGGTCAGTTACTTTAAATGCACGTAAACAACACGCGGGTATGAAAGCGCGTGACGGTTTTTAACATTGGGTTGTAACCATTAATAATTACCGCAAGGCTAAAACAACCGCAGCCGTAACTTGTTTGTAAATGTCAAAAATTTACTGGCTGTGTGGGTCCCACTCATAATTTAATTGAATTATTAAAAAAAAAATATATGTGATGTGGTATAGAGGTTATCTCTAACCAAAGATCCACGCTAGCTAGTAGATAGCCTGTGCTAGGTGAAGGTTTTCACACATTTATAATTAGTAGTTTGTTCTCCTCCTCAACTAACGTGGGACATCATAGCCCAAAGAAGACAATATCTGCTAGCGGTGGATCTGGGCATTACTAATGGTATCAAAGCCAGATACCGAATGATGTGTCAATCTTTTCGTTGTTCCCCGGAAAGAGGACAATATCTGCTACAGTTGATTTGGGGTGTTACTAATAGTTAAGAGCGAGATATCGGACGGTGTGTCAGTCTTCTCATTGTTTTTCAAAGGGGGTAGACACAAGGTGGTGTGTCAGTAAGGACGCTGGCCCTAAACGGGGTGAATTTGGGGGAGGTCCCACATTGATTCGGGAAGGAAAGAGTGCCAGTGAGGACGCTAGGCCCCAAAGGGGGTGGATTTGGGGGTGGTCCCACATCGATTAGGGGAAGGAAAGAGTGCCAGCGAGGACACTAGCCCCAAGAGGGGTGGATTGTGACGTCTCACATTGGTTGGGGAGGAGAACAAACCATCCTTTATAAGGGTGTGGAAACTTTCTCCTAGCAGACACGTTTTAAAGCCTTAAGGGGAAGTCCGAAAGGGAAAGCCCAAAGAGGACAATATCTGCTAGCAGTGGATCTGGGGCGTTATATTATCGATATTTTTATTGCATTATAAAAAATCGACAAAAATAATTAAATTACATTATCGATAATGAATATGTAGTGCGGTTGATGGCTGTCTTGTAATTTGGGAAAACTTGGAGGTGATTAAAGCGGGATGTGCCAAGTCATTTGCCCCAATTCCACCTGGCAATATTTTGGTCATATTCGTTGAAAAAGAAAGACTTGTTTTAAAGGAGCTGGAATCTGACGTGGATTTTATAATTGGAATTGAAAAAAAATTGGGAGGTTCTATGTTCCATAGTGAGTTTTGAGTATCCGACAAAGAAGACGTAGGCAATGCCTAGGGTTGACAGTGAAGGGGTGATGTGTGGGGCCAGCTTTAAGGTTGATGTCCAGTCAAGTGTTCACAGCATGCCACGTGTTGGGAGTGAAGCCAACTGGGTAGCCTGGGGTTCACATGCTTGATTCACATTTCCAATTTTTTTTTTTTTTTTTCTCTAATTTCTGGTTCCTTGCACTTGGGGATCCTTTGATTTTTCACATGTTTTGCTTCGGTTTGGATTCATGAAAAAGAAAAGTAAATGATTTTACATTAATGCCCCCACATAGTTGAAAAGGAGAGAAGAACGGAACCTTTTTCACAAGAGTGTGGAAACCTCTCCCTAATAGAAAACTTCGAGGAAAAGTCCACAAGAGAAAGCTCAAAGAGAACGGTGGGAAAACCTCTCCGTAATAGAATACCTTGAAGGAAAGTCCAGAAGAGAAAGCTCAAAGAGAGCGGTAGGAAAACCTCTCCCTAATAGAAAACCTTGAAGAGAAGTCCGAAAGAGAA